GATGCTTCGAGTCCAGTGGTGGCGAACCTATAGCACGGGTGCCAGAGGTGGCACTCAGAGCCCTCTCTGTGGGCACGTGCGCCGTCGCCCCAGTCCTAGGCCTTCAGCTGGGTTTTATAAAACCTTTTCACTTTAGGCCTCCACTGCCATGTGCAAAAAAAAAAAAAAGGTTCAATCAATCGGTCAATTTCAACTTCTCGCGGAAAAAAAAAAGATCTTGCAAAGTTGGAATTAATTGATTGAACTTTTTAGTCCCACCCAGTCTGCCGTTACCACCGCAGTCGTGCCCACCCAATGGGCCACACCCACCTAATGGGCCACACCCACCCAATGGGCCACACCCACCCAATGGGCCACACCCACCTGGCACTCAATGATGCATAAGTGGGTTTTGGGTTGCAGTTTGGGCACTCGGTCTCTAAAAAGTTCCCCATCACTGTTCTAGTCTCTTCAGGTGGCCTTTTGTCAGAGACCAACTCTCTACTCCATGGAGCAGGATAGAAAAAATATAGCATCTGACAAGCCTGATTTTCAGTCTTAGGCTTATGTCGTGACTGCAGAAGACCTTTTTCATTTTGAAGAATGCTGTTCGAGCTTTTTCTATCCTTGTCTTTACTTCAGTGGGCATGTCCCAGCTTTCATGTAAATTAGAACCGAGGTGTGTGATCCTTTCAACTTTTTCTAGTGGTATTCCTTCCGAATTTATTGGTGGTATATTAACGGGTTGTTTGCCCCTCTGGGGTGAGCTGATCTATCAGGAGCTGAAAATGGCATCAGCCACTTTACCAGCGTCAATTCACAACGATGCAACAGGTAGTCCTCGACTTACAATGTTTTCCTTTGGTGACCGTTCGAAGTTACAGCGGCACTGAAAAAAATGGACTCGTGACCCATTTTTCATACTTACGACCGTTGCAGCATCCCCACCGTCACGTGATCCAAATTCAGACGCTTGGCGACTGGCTCGTATTTACGATGGTCGCAATGTCCATGGGACACGTGATCCCTTTTTGTGACCTTCTGACAAGCAAAGTCAACGGGGGAAGCCAGATTCACTTAACAACCGTCTTACTGATTTAACAGCTGCAGTGATTCACTTAATAACTAATAATAATAATAATAAAGTTGAAAGGGACCTTGGAGGTCATCTAGTCCAACCTCCTGCTCAGGCAGGAAAGCCTATACCATTTCAGACAAATGGCTGTCCAGTCTCTTCTTAAAAACTTCCAGTGTTGGAGCATTCACCGCTTCTGGAGGCAGGTTGTTCCACTGGTTAATTGTTCTCACTGTCAGGAAGTTTCTCCTTAGTTCTCAGTTGCTTCTCTCCTTGATTAGTTTCCATCCATTGCTTCTTGTCCTGCCTTCAGGCACTTTGGATAATAGCCTGACGCCCCCCCCCCCTTCTTTGTGGCAAAGAAGGTCGTAAAAATAGGACAAACTCACTTAGCAAATGTTTTGCTTAGCAGCAGAAATATTGGGCTTGCTTGTGGTCGCAACGTGAGGACTATGTGTATTTTTAAAGGCGAGAAACCGAATGAACATCCTGAATGTGGTTTTTTAGGCCCAAGAAGGATAAGAAGTATTGATTGAAGAGGTGAAGTCAGCAAATTCAGGGATCGGGAGTGATTTACAAGACAGTTCTTAATGAAAAGGTTGCTCTTGAATTGCAGTATTGACCTGCTGGCTTGACTGATAATTGCAATTTACATCCCTTGTTTTTATTTTAATGGGTTTGACATCGCTTCTGATGTGCCCTCTTTAAAAGTAGGGTCAACGTAGGGTCCCCGTGCTTGCCGATAGCAACCAAGGGGCAGTGGAGAAGCTGTATCTTTGGGTATACTGGTAAATCCCTTCCTCCAGTGCCTTCGTAATTTTGGAAGGTCACTGAACGAACGGTTGTAAGTCAAGGATTACCTGTACCCTAGAAGCTCTAGTAATGGTACTGCTCCTGTTATTAAAGGTTTCTCTCTGGGTTGGGAAAGCAGAGATTCAGAATTCATAATCTCTGCTTTCCAAAAAGCATTTGCAAAATAAGAACAGAACAGAATAGAATAACAAGAGTTGGAAGGGATCTTGCAGGTCTTCTAGTCCAACCCCCCGCTCAGGCAGGAAACCCTATACCAATGATGGTGAACTTTTTAGAGATTGAGTGCCCCAAAACCACCCTATCCCCCCCACTCTGCCTTCCCCCCCTTCTGCCCGCAAGGCCACCCCCCCTCCATGGCCCACCGCAGATTGCCCAGGTGGCCCTGCAGCACCATGGCGGCCACGCCCTCCACTCGCGCCCTACAGCATCATCTGTGCGCGATGGGGGGCAAGGGCAGAGTGTTGACCCTGCTTCCTGGCTGCCATGTCCTTGGATGCGCTGCTCCGCGTGGACCGTGCCTGTGGGGTGACTCTCCTCTGGGGGGCTGCTGGTGAGGAGGGGGCTGTGGGGAGAGGTGGGGCTGGGGCGAAAGTGCATGTGCCCACAGAGAGGGCTCTGAGTGCCGCTTCTGGC